TCTGACACGGTGTCATCAATCTTTGAATGCTGAAAAAGCACAGTGTATCCAGAAAAACACATTATATCAATTATTATAAAATCTGTGTGCGCCTAACTTCTGTGCGCCCATGGCCAAAAGTTAGTCTAGAGCCCTGTTAAAGCTGTCAAATCTGCCTTTTGTCTATCATTATTATGACTAATAGCCACACCCAACCTTTTTAATACTTTTAACTCTGTGATAAACCCTAGCACTATCACTTATAGGGACGCCTCCCCTGCTCTTTGTGATAAATTCTTAAAGTATTTCTCTGAAAACGTCTCAGCTCTAAGGGCTTCTCATCCATCTCATTCATCCAGTTCCAGTCTCTGAATGTTTGACTGTCCCTGAGTGTCTGAGAGCTGCTGAGCGCGCAGGTGTTTCACTGCTGCTGCATCTAATAAACGCCAGAGAACAACCGCAGCTCAGATGACCCGTTTTCTCAGGAAACGGCAGCTGTCGAGCAAGACAGCGGAAACACAGACGACTGATGTGCTGAGAAAGGAGCGCGAGCCGCCGGGTTCAGATGAACGGGTCAGAAAACGAGCCCTGTGCACCTGAAGCTCACCTGAAGCTCACCTGAAGCTCACCTGAAGCTCACTCGCTGATGTGTTTAAGGACGCACAGCATGTGTCACGCGCATCTTTACGAGCTCACAGCAGCGCGAACAAACTGGACACCGGATGTCTGTGGGGGACATCCAGTGAGAGACGTCACTGTCACACGTGCTAAACTTATCATCTCAGATCAACGTGATGTTCCAGAGAAGATGAGCGAGAGGAGCCGAGGAAACGAAGGAAAAGTCTCCGAGTTTGGGAGCTTTGCGCGCGTACTGCTGAATAAATCAGGCCCAAGCAGCTCTGACGCGCTCTGCGCTCTTTCTTCATCAAAGATAAAAACCTGTAACACGGGAACCTTCGTTCGGTGGAAAGTCTGTGCTGGCAGGGATGACCCCACAGCCCGCGGGCTCTGTGGGAGGATGTTCTCGCCATAGAGCAGGTGCACAGCGGCTGTTCGCGTCTCCGCAGTCAAACACAGAAAAACAAGCAGCACGTTGCGTGAACACTCACCAGCCTCAGCCTCAGCTTCTTCCCTCTGTTCTCTCCAAACTAAGGGACTCGAACTTGCGAGTCTTCTTACCTTCCTCTCTGCAGGAAATCGATGCTGCTGTGTAACCCCGGGGTGAACCCTCGCGGGCAGAAACCGCACACCATGAAGAAGCAGCGTTCAGGTGACAGCTGCAACCGCTTTGCCTTAAAAGGTTTGGAGAAACCTAACAGAGGTTCTCTGTAACAGCGGGAACTAAACTTCTGTAGATTTTTGTCAGCACGGAGACGTCATGTTTCTGAAGCTGTTGAAGCAGCGAGAGGACTCGATTCTGTTTTTCTTGCTCTTCCTGCAGCTGTGGCAGCACAGCGCCTTAATATCGCAGGCCTCAGCTTAATGGTGTTTATTACTGGTTTTTATTGTGGTTGGTGGATGCAGTTGTAGCTTCTGAACTCTTTTGGTCTGTCAGATGTTTTGTGACACGTCATAAGCAGTGCTGAAATATCAGGATGCTATTAGAATGACGTGACTGTTCAAGGACGTTTTATTTATTCGTGCTCTGTTTTAACTGCATTGATGCCCAACAACATCACCGATATGGAGGAAATAAATATTACAATTATGCAGTTTGGTCTGATGAATAGATTCTGTTGATGGCGCTGCAGTCTTCATGTGGATCAGAGCTGCTGGCTTTAAAGGACGATCGCCCCCTGCTGGTACTAGAGGCGAAGCATGACCAGATGTTCTCTAGTGTCCCAGCTTTGTTGGATACTAACGTTGGAGTTGGCAGTAATGATATCAGTCAAACACATGTATACCTGAGAAACAACACTAGCATCAGTGGCAGGTGTGGAGCATCAGTGGGACAGGTGGAGTCCACAGCTGCTGTGGGGACAGTTTCTTAGAGGCTGACGATCCAATCCCACCACAAAGACTTCAAGCTCCCTCTGCAGACGTGTAAAATGTTGTGATAAGAGTCACGGACGGACAAAACAGCTCAATAAATACTTCATCACTGCTGTTAGCTTCCCACCGACAGTTCTAATCTGCGGGTAAAAATCACAAAGTAACAGATTAGCAGTATTTTTTATTTTTTTTTAATATTATTTCTTTAAACACCCACCAAGTGAAAGCAAGCCCCCAACATTTAAACTGAAAAAGATTTAAAAGGGTAAATATAAGAATTTAATTTAAACTGAAAGATAAAATCTGAGACCATGAAAATACCACATACGAGAGATTATTGCATTTTCACAAGTTCCTTATTAAAACTTCAGTTTTAATATGAACTTTTTCCATGGCTGAAGTTTGGCTTCTTTGAATTTGTATAAACTGCTCAGAATTATTATTTTAAACAACTAACGTGAAAGTTCCTGCATCACACACGTTTCTTTGAACGGGAGTCTCGTTTAGTCACAAACGTGCACCGCCTCGATAAAGCAGGTGTTACTCACATGACTCGAGTGCTGCAGAAGTCCAGAGACATGAAAAGCAGGCTCTGTCACATCGATAATTACATACATGCATGATAAACAAAGCTACTCGCATATATCATTTTCTCCTTTCTAAAACAGCTGACTTTGCTCATACGATCATGTAAGTTGCAGCTTTAGTCTGCAGGACGTGGCGGTACTGTTTCAATATGAAACGTCTGCACAGTTTAGTTTCCATGGTGACGCCTCCAGCCGTTTCACAGACTGTGTGCTGATGTTCGCTCGCATCCTAACATTTAAAGCTTCTAATTGTGAAAGTTTGCAGATTTGGTGGAAGCCTCGTGTCTTTGTCCCAACTGGAACATCAATCTCTCACTGAAGTTGAATGTTTTTTTCATTCCTCTAAACAAACGAGCGGTTCCTGAGATCATCCGTTAACATTAGCAGACCCTGAGGCAGAGAGGATGAGGCACAGCTTCATCAGTGACACGCAGCAGACCGCAGGCTCATCACTCTCAGAAGGTTATTTAAAATTAAACAGCTTGAAACTAACTAGAAAAAAATTGTAAAAACAATGAAGAGATTACCAAACTTTACACTGTTGCACCTGTTCAGTTATCATGGATGCTGTGTTCCAAGGCTGAATGATCAGACATGATCTTTAATGACTGTAAAATTAATAACTGGGTCGGCACAGGATGGAATTTATTTAGATGTTGTGTCATCCACACAGGGCAAAAGTATAGAAATAGAAAATACAAACAAATGTCTCTTGCACCTTGACCATTCTCTTTATATCTGCTAACAGACAGCAGCACTCTGACTGGATGATGAGGAGCAGTAGAGTTCCAGTAGAGTTAACTGTACTGGACAGAAACTGGACAGCTGGGAGTGCAGAGGCATCTATCTGTATATGTGTTTATGTTTAACCACGAAACAATCACTGAACATTTCCACGTGAAACATTTTTTACATCA